GCAGGAGGATCTTTGCCAGTTCTAGACCAGCCTGGGCTACAAAGTGAGCTCAAGGCCAGCCTGAACTGCATAGTGAGACCCTGTCCCAAAAAAAAAGAAAGAAAGAAAGAAATAGAGACACACAGAAGTACTGTGTTCAAAGTCATAGAACTACATTGGAACTTTAACCTAGGCAGTGAGGCATCCAAGTCTGAGTTCTTAACCATGTTGCTCTCCCTCTCTCCTGTACTGTGCTAATTTTAGAGATGAGAAGATTAAGGATCAAGGGGTTTAAGAACCTTGTTCAGGATGGCATGGCGAGCGTATATCAGGGTCAGGCTGCAAACGCTAAAACCTTAGTGTTTTTCACTGCACTGTGCAATGCCTTCATAAGCTGAGAGCAGAGAACTGTGGTTGAGTCTGATTGAAGCAGAAAGCTTCTGTGAGGTTGGACAACATGGAGGTCACTGACACCTCATCAGGTCAGTTTCATGGCAGAGGTCAGGGTACGAAGTCTTGGGGAGTGAAAGGCAGGCAAGGAATTTGGCGGCTACTTTCAGCAAGTTTGACTACAGAGAGAAGATAAGAGATAGCAAAATAACTAAAAAGGGAGGTGGAATGTAAAAATGTTTCAAGAATTTTTAAAAATTATGTAATAGAGGAGGAACCTGCAGAGATCTGAGCGGTAACAGAAAAATCCAAGAATGGATTTTGATGGAGTGGACAATTGGTTTTAAGTTTCTGAGTCAAATTTGGTGAATTTGAGTGAGCATCTCTGAATGTGACCAACTTCGTACTTGCAAAGTTGAGAAGCTAAGCCTGTGAGTAGGTCATTCCTATGGTGGCACAGACAGTTGACCTTTGTCCTATCTTGTTTTAACTGTAAATTTAACCATGGGATCAACAGGGAGTGATTGCTCTACTGTAATCAGACCTGTGAATGGTAACACCACAGATCCTCTGTCAACCTCACTTGAACTTAAAAGATGCAAATCTAAATAGCTATGCGGTACCCTACTCAGTACTAAAGACCCAGCACCATGAGAATCCACTGTTGACCCGAAGACAATAGGTGCAATTCTTTTGGAAAACAATGGTACATGTTTCCAGAGCCTTGTACATTCTAATAACACTAATAGCACTTATCCTAATACTTTCGTTTCTGAGAGTTTGGATAGTGAAAAATGTACGAAGATGTTCATTGTGGCATTGTTTATGATAAGGAAAAATGGAACATTTCAAGTGCTCACAGCTATAGAACTGTGCAGAAAAACAAGAATATACCCACTTGATGGAAAATTATATAATGCTTTAAAATACTATTTAAAAAGACAATGCTATTGTCAAAACATGATATACATACAGTGTCAAAGGAGAAAAGCAGAACAAAAATCCTATAATATGAAAGCAACTGTGTAAATAAACCAACAATGTAAAAAGAAAAAGATGGAAATACCTTCACTAGCAGTGATTATGCTTGCCTAGTTGTTACTTCGATAATGAAAAAAAAAACTAAAAATGAATAGATCTCTCAAACTCCGCTGATTTGCAATGTCTAACAGTACATTGAGCACTATTTTCTCACTCATTTTTTTCATGTATTTCTTTAGCATTTTTGTAGAGTATAAATTACTCATAGAAATGCAGGTGTTTTCCTGAAAATGCATCAAATGAAACCTCTAGGTAACATACAAATAAAGTATCTTTAAACTATTTTTATTATGCTCAGCATCCTTTTGGGGTACAAAACAAAACACATTCCTGTGGAAAATGCACAAACTGTAAAATCAGAGACCTACGGAGAAGCAAAGAAAAATCTCACTTAATCCTTCTCAGGTAATGCGTGAGGCTCTGTAGTAGACCTCATTAACCTCACTCATCAGGAATGCAACTTTATTGGTATTGAAATACACGCACGGAGATCACAGACATGTTTTAAGCAAAATATAGTTGTACTTCAGCAGTGTATTTGAACATGGAACCAGGAGACTTACTTATGCCGATCCCCACATTTCGTTTATTATGGAAGAGAGGTTATCATTTATTTACCTCTGTATCTCCAACCAACTTGCCCTCAAACATAGCACACGCTCAATAAACATGGGTTGAATAAACTAAAGACTTGGATTGAAATTCCTACCTTATCACTTATTAATGAGATGTTCTCTGCTATAGTTTGCATTTTAATTATCCCACAAAGACTCATATATTAAAGACTTGGTCACTGGCCTGTGGTGCTGTTGGGGGGTGATGAGACCTTTAGGAGGCAGAGCCTAGTAGGAAGAAGCTAGATAACTGGGGGTGTGTGCTGTGTTTTTGAAAAGGAAATCAGGATATGTCTCTTTCTCTCTAACTACCTGGTTGCACTGAGGCGAACACCCTCTTCTATCATGTGCTCCAGCCATGGTTTACTGTTCCCCCACCCACCCAGAGTGACAGGCCAAGTAACCATAGACTAAAAGCTCTGAACCCCTGATTCCAAATAAAATTTTCCTCCTTTGAAGCTGATTAGCTCAAGTGTTTGTTATAGTGATGAAAAGCTAACAGCTCCCACCCGCTTCTCCGGCTTCAACCCCCATCTTTAAAGTAATGACTTTCAAATCTCAATAATTAACTCTTCTTCCTACAAGTCTAGAACCAGATAACTAGCTAGCAGCCTCCTGAACTTTCCTACTGGGATGTTCCACAAATAGCCCAAATGCATATGGCCCCTCCTGAAGCCTGCTCCATCTCCTCCCAAGCCTGCTCTTTCTCCCATGATCCCCGGCTTCATTAATGGAAGCACCATCTGTCTAGGTACCCAAGAGGGAGAACAAATGAATGTCTTTACTTCCTTTCATTATTTGCTTTAGAAACCTTGCTGACTCTAGCTAAAAAATGTCCCAGATTTGTCATCTCCAGTCCCCAAGCTTCTCTTGGTTCAGATACTCATCATAATCTTATCTGGATTAGTACACTGATCTCCTAACTAATTTTTTTTCCAGTATTTTGTTTCAAAGCATCTCCACGGTCTAACCAAAGGTATCTACCTAAATTCAGGCATAATGACATTATTTCCTTCCCTAGAAATATCAAAAGTCTATGTTGCTTAAAGAATACAAATTCTTAGACAACATTAAGAGCCTGGCACAGTCTGGCCCCAACTTCCCCTTTTGGTCTCACCCCTTATAAAATCCATCTCCCTCACCCCAAATGAATATGACCTACTTTAGCCACTCATAATTTCCCACTCTTCTCCAAACAGACCGCATCCTCTCTCTTTGCATAGACTTGTGCCCAACTTTGTCTCTCCACAGTGGATTGATGGCAGTCCCTTATTAGAGAGCTCCTACTCCATTCAAAGCCCAGCCCACATCCCGTCTCCTCTGAATATCCTTCCTGGGTCCTCCATGGCAGAACTAACCATTCCTCAACCTTGTTCTCCTAGGGCTTAGCCCCTGCAACTATTGTAACACTGATTTCTATTTAGTCCTGTTATTTTATTTAGTAGTATCTTTGTGTATGCGAGACCTCAGAGCTTCAGGGGGAGTCTGGCAGAGAGCAGCGCCTGTGAATGCTTGGAGAATGGCTCCCACTTGGGGTGTGGAGGGTGTAACACCCACTTCACCACCCTTCCTTGGGAGAACAGCCCTGTTTTAGAGCCTGGCATACAGGCTCAGCCCACCCCAGGCCCCTGCTATGCAGAGATCCCCTCACATCACTTTGCAAAAGAGTCCCTGGCAGATCATTTCATTTTCAGGTTCTCCTTCCTTCTCTGAAAAAGATGGATTCAGTAGTGATCGATACCTCATGTCTGAAAGGCTCCCTGAATTAGCTGTACACAGAGAGACCCCGGAACTGATCCTGGGGAAAGGAATTGGGCCTGGAGAAAAGATATGTGTTTTCCTAGAACAGGAAATGAGAATGGAGCTCTTTTATCCTCCTCGATGGAAATGAACAAATATATGCAAGAATCCACCTTGCAAGCACCCCAAAACAAATGGAAGACATTCGCTAAATTGCACTGAACGTTTGGATTCTCATTTAGAGTCCTACATCACAGTATTTCATGAAGTCTCACACAGGCTTAGCTTCTCCTCCCGTAATTACCCAGGTTTGCCCGGAGCAGAGATTTTCATTTAACGCAATGCAGTGCTGGAATGCTCGCCTGCCCCTCTATTAGACGACAAGTTAGGAGACAGCAGAGCGTGTTTATTCGTTCTGTTCTTCTCGGAACCTAGCTTAGTCTCTATTTCCTGCTAAATGTTCTGGAAATACTTGTTTAATTAACTGAATGAAATAGTCCTCCTTTCGTACCTCAGGAGACTAATGAGCACATAGCTAGCCTTCAGATATTTCTAGACTGAGCAAACCAACATACTCCGGCACTCACCGAGCTCGCAGCCTACTAGGAGGCAGGGGAGCAGTCGGGCTTCCAGCCCATCCAGAACATACAGCGCCCAGGGCGGGTAGAACAAGAGAAGGAGGGAATGAAGCTCACGGGGACTGGCCACGGCCTTATGGGAAAGTGACATAGTCATCATTGGAACCCTAGATAAAGGGGACCAGCGCCAAGGGAAGGAATGCGGGGTGTGATTTGGACTTGGGAGGAAAGAGGAGAAGCCTGAGGCTGACCGGTGATGGTTGACCTCTGACTCCAGCTTGGGGCGAGGATGGTTCGAGCTGGAGCAGCGCCCTCTGGCAGCCCCACGGACCCAGGTAGAGAGGGTGGTGTGAGAGACCTTGGGTCGTCCCGCAATCAGTACAAACCTGAGTGTCTTAGGCACGGGTGGGGGCAGCGCCCCTCTGCCCACCACGTCCAGCATTTGGCCTGGTGCTCCCCCTCCAGCGTCCCCCAGGCAGGGCGGGTCCCAGCGCCCCCGCGGGGGTGACTCAGCTGGGCTGGCAGCAGGCGCGGCCAGGCAGGAGCGCGCCAAGTTATGAGACAGGGCAGCTCCGCCGAGGTCTAGGGTCCTGGCTTGGGCCGAGAGGGGTGTGGCGGACGCCAGAGGACAGATAAAAGGGGCGGCGCGGCGCCGGGACGCTTCTCCGCGCCGTAGCCCCGGCAGAGGCCGCGTCGGGCGCGGGCAGGGCCGGGCTGGAACTGGGCCGGGGCGCACCGACGGCGACTGCGACGGCGGGGCATGGCGGGGGTGGCGTGCGAGCCGCCGGCCAGGCCGAGCCTCACCTCCATCTCGTCGGGGGAGCTGCGCAGCCTGTGGACCTGCGACTGCGAGCTGGCGGTGCTCCCGCTGGCCCAGCTGCTGCGCCTGCAGCCCGGAGCCTTCCAGCTGCGCGGCGACCAGCTCGTGGTGCCCGGGCCGGGCGAGCCGGTGGCCGTGCGCGGGGGCTTCAACGTCTTCGGGGATGGCTTCGTGCGCCTCGATGGGCAGCTCTATCGCCTCAGCAGCTACATCAAGAGGTGGGTGCCTTGCCGCGCCCCGCAAACTCCGCCCAGCCGCCCGTGCAGCGCGGGGGCCCCGGGGTGGGGGGACTCAGGCGCCCCCTTTGCCCGCGACCCCGACCGGCGTGTCTCTTTTCCTTCCTTCTCTACCTGTTCTCCCTGTTAAGGTCACCTGGAGCCTGCAAGCTGTCCCCGCCCTGGCTGCCTCTGCGCTTTGCACTGACCCTTTGCAGCTGCAGTTTGAAGCAACCCTGAGGGCATCGGCGGGGCATGTGGGGAGGGCAGCGAGCGAGCGCTGCGGACTCGCTCGGCTCCCACCCGAAGTGCGTAATTGTAGTTGCTTTTTCCATTCCAGCTCAACTGGGTCAGATGAGCTCAGACTGGGGGCACACCCTTTAGGGAATGTTTGTCTCGCTGAGACTCACGCCCTCGCTTTAGATTTGGGGGTTTGGGAAGGAGGACGTGCAGTTTTGAGCCCAACTAGCTTTATCCATTGAGGCGGTCCGGGCTCCAGGGAAGTCTTAGATCGCTGCTAGTGTGTCGCCAACCGTCCAGTCAACTAACCAGCAACCAACCAATCGGCCACAGTGACAGAAACACAGCCTGGGAAAGTGCAGCCCAGTAAGTTGGCAGATAAATTCTGGGGAAATCAGTGCAGTAATGTAGCTTCCTGGAGTCTGGGGCAGAGCGTGGGCCCCATCTGCAAACTTAATTGAATGGAGACTCCCCAGGATGCTAAGCTGATGTTCCCAAGTGATGGAAACACCTCTAGGCAGGCCTGAAGCCCACAGGGAAGTGGTGCATCCTTCTGAACAGGCTCTGATGGTGGGGAATGGAGGAGGGCAATCCCTGCCTGATTCTACAGGACCTGGGCCTCCAGGGGTCACCCTTGGGGAAGAGCCTGCAAAGCCTTCTCATGTTTATACCACCCTTCTCCTAAGAAGTTTGGTGCTGGGAGAGATGGGGCTGGGCACCCTGTGGGTGACACGGAGCCAAGAGGGGCAAGCAAACAGTGAGGTGTTTACAGAGCTTGTTTCAAAGCTGCTGGCAAAACAAACAAACAAACAAACAAACAAACAACCTTTGGTTTTTCAAGCCAAGATAGTTGAGGGCATCGAATGCCTGCAAAATCATTCCCAAGCAAGAATTTCTCTCCCTCTCCCTCTCTCCCTCTTTTTAGTGAAATGAAAATTCCAACCCATAAGTAGGGAGCAGTGGGAAGAACTGAGTCAGAAATCAGATTCAGAAAGATTTAAAAAGAAGATAACTATTGTATTGAGGACCAGATATCACAAACTAAAATGTCTAAACTTAATTGGAAGTGTAGATAAGGCTTTTGACAGAACCAGCTCCCCCAATCTTACTAAACAGTGCTGCAAAATTTAGAATGATGTTGACATAAGTTATTAAACCTTTGCTTTGAACACCTCCAAAATAAACATAAACAGCCGTGGTCCCTAGGCAGTGTAGGGTCTAGTAAACAACTGGCCAGTAATGACCGAATAACACATCCGAAGGGCAAACCTGGAGCTGCACAGGCTCTTATTGGAGAAGCTGTGTGAGGGCCTGTGTACCCTGGGGGATAGAACGGATGCTCTGAAAATAATTTGGGCAATGGAAGGAACAGCTTATCTTCCTCGAGGGGATGGACTTCGGCAGGGAAGGTAGTTTTATAACTGGACATGCAGCCCTGAAGGGTGGCTGGGAGGAAACCTGGTCTGAATGGAGACAGCTTGTAGAGTTGTGCACAGCAGGGAGACATTTGTCTATGCGGAACAAAGGAGAACATACCAAACTCAGACATCTAAAGTTGCTATTCCTCTGAGCTGTAAAAGATAACTACTTGTCTTTGGTTTGGGGAATTGCATTAACTTTCTCCTTCAAAATATTATTCCAGAACAGTGTCTTTCTGCCTACCTCTCTCTCCGCTTCCCTTCCTTCTCTCCTCCTTCCTTCTTTCCTGCCTCTCTCCTTCCTTCTTTCTTTCCTTCCTTCTTTCCTTCTTCATTTTCCTCCAGCATCTTGTTCTTCCAGCCCTGGCCAGTTTTATTAAAGAGAAGTTCTGCAGATTTACCTTTTTTCACCCATCTGTCCATCATGCTTCTGATGCTTTCAGAATGCCTGGATCAGTGACAGCCGGGGCAGGTGTTCTATTCTTCACATGCTGTGCCCAAGTTGACATAACTCTCACTGTGATGTGGGAGGCACCAGTTTTGAGTGTCCCTAGCACAGCACTCTGCTTTGGCTTCTCCTGAGGTGGGGCAATTGATGAAGAAAGAACCAGTCTGATTTTGCTGGGTCTGGCAGCCTCAGAGTCCATTTGGCAAACGAGCCTAGAGTCGATGGACTGCAGTGACTTTTGTACCTTTGCGACCACCACATTCCTGCCTGAGGTGTGGATGGCTTCTAACCAAGAGAAGCTACCAAGACAGCCGGGATTGAGGAAGGGATAGCTCTAATTCTAAACACTCTGAACTATATGGCTTTTGAGAACCCTATGGAGACCTTCTCCCCAGAAATGCAGATATATTCCCAATACTGTTAACCATTCAGGTAGTTAACACGATACTTGGATCCAGATTAAGGATCTTTGGTTTATTAAATAATGAGAGTTTTTCCCTAGTCAATGTATTTTTGATGTATTATTACATCGTAGCCTATGATGTAATTAAGGTTTCTTTTTAGAGACTTAAAAGGAATATGCTGTGTTAGGTTTTAGGTGCAGAAGAAGAAACAAACAAAGGGGTAAAAAGGTCATTACTCCGGACCCGAAGGGTACTGTCTGCAGCACAGGGCTCTTCTGGGATAGAGAAACGAGGCTAGGGGTTTATGAGGACTCTGGCTAGAGGCGGAGCTTGAGGGGTGGGCTCAGTGACGCGTTAGGAGCTGATTGGGGCGTCCCTCGCGCATGCGCTTGGGGAGGGTAAGAGGAAGTCGTGCTTAGGGTCCCGCAGGAGCCTGTAGTGCTGTATCTTTCGCAAGTCCCTTTCCCAGTAATCCCAGAGGCTCCGAGCCATCGCTCTTCACATTGACCTGGCTCGCTCGCTCAGAGAGCAAGAGGCTGATTTCTGTCCTCCACACTAGGGTTTGTCTTCTGATCCGTAGACCTATTTCTAAATATTTATGTGCTAAAGAAACTACGGAAGCCTAGGGTGATGGGATAGTTTAGTGAAGGCCACCAAGAGCTTTAAAACTGCTTCCAGAGCCTGCTTTAACAATATTTGTCTTTCTTTGTGGAATTTGTGGAACGATCTTCATTGTTGTTTTTTTTCTTTCAAGCTCAGGATTTTCATATATATTACAAACAAACCCTACTCAGGAACCAGATGTACATCCTCGTTATCCAAAGAGTTAGTCTTTCATCACTTAAAAATCCAATGAGGAAATACCCTTGCCTTCCCCCACATGCACGTATCTTTCCATCTATAATGCAGCCTTGTAATCATCTGTAATGGCAACATTTAGCAAAGAGTCTCCTGATTCCTTCTCTTTGGTGGTTGGTCCCCTAGCAAGAGAGGCATCTTGGGTAATCAGATTAAGTACAATAATAATGGTGGCTGTTGATATTTATTTGAGCACCAGGTATTATCTCATAAAACTTACAAAGTTGGCACTATTATTATTGTCCTTTTTTTTTTTTTACAAATGGGAAAATTAGGACTTAGAGACATTAAGTAATTAACCTGAGTAAGATGCTGTGAGCAGTAGAACCAGGGGATTCTAAGTACCACTGTCCAACTGTGAAGCCCCTATTTCTACAAATTACCCGGAATGGGAAGTAATTCTGCCTTCCTAAAGCCAGCAGCAGCTTCTCACTCCCAGAGCCCACACATAAATAACTGTGATTCCATCAGCCCCTGTGCATCTTCTGTAATCAGTGTAAAAGAGAAGTAAGTAGGGGGGTTTTAAGGAAGTCTCTAAAAGCAGAAATGTAACTGATCTTGCCTGGAGCTAAGCAGCCGTTAGATAGATGGGTGACAGTCACACCCACCTCTGGGCAGCTGCCTGGGGCAGAGTGCAGCAGAGTGGGACTGTGGGACTCAAGGGTGAGGCAGGACTGGGGCCAGGGTTGGCACACATTTAGATTGTGCTGGGTGGCGCTCACTTCCAACCTGTAGAGGAAGTACAGACTGTCCAAAGAACTGGGCTATGCTGCTTGTGCCTGTCTGTGACCTCTCCTCTGCATGAAGTCTTAGGTATGGAAACCTTCCCAGATCAGTGGTCCCTTAACAGGGCACATCGTGACACTGATGTAATTACACTACTGCACACACTGAGCTACGATTTGGATGAGACTCAGTCTAGAGGAAGTTTCAAAGAGGTGAACACCAACTGAGAATCGTTGGCAGATTTCCTTAATATCTGTGTGTCTTGGTTTCTTTGGTATTGAATGGGAATAATAATACCCTCAAACTTAAAGGGTTGCAGAGAATTTAAAGTGGGAAAATCCTAAACAACATTGATTGGCCTGTGCGAGACGCTTGACGTATGTTAGTTTGTATACTGCTGAGTAACCTCATAGGGCAAGTACATTGGACATGCTGTTTAATCTGTTAATTGCTTCATCAGTACCTTTCATTAGCTGATTTTACAGTTGAGGAAAATGAGTCTCAGCAAGGTTAAACACCTGCAGAGACAGAAGTCACACTCAGATCTGCTGCCTCAATTTCTGGCTGCCTGCCTCGAGAGCCTTGCTGTGACTTCTAGCCACACTCTGGTCTGCTTCCTGCACTCAGCCCACCTGGTCCTTGTCACATGTCTGCCTATCCTCCCAGATGCAGCTACCTTGTAGTCCCTAAGTTTCGACCAAGCAATGGCTCTTCCTGTCCCCACCTTGCTTTCAATAAGTGACTGGTTCTAGGGTCCTCTCCCATGCTCCTTTTTGTTTAAATAAGTAAGACATGGTCCACTGGAGCGTGGGCCTAAGAATGCAGAGAACTGTGCATCTCTCTGGCATCCGCACGTTTGAATGATTTACCAGTTTTCAACCCTCTGAATGGCAGGCACCATGTCTTAGA